AGTACTACCTGCTCTGCATTCGACTCCGCTCCTGCTTATGGCCTGGGAAAGCAGTGGAAGGATAACTCAAGGCCTTGGGCCCCTGCACTCACGTGGGAGACCTGGAAAGAGCTCCTGGCCCTTGGCTTTGGATCGGCTCAGCTCCAGCCATTGCAGCTGCTTGGGGAGTGAATCATCAGACGGAAGATCTTCCTCTCTTTCTTTCCTCCTCTCTGTATATTTGATTTTCCAATATAAATAAAATAAGTCGGGTGGGTCTCAGGACGGGGCGTCTCATGCCTGGATCCCGGACAGCCGCCATGGGCACAGCCGCCATGTGCTGAGCTGTCCCCGGGCCTGCTGGTTCCGGGGGCCGCTTCCTTCGGGGTGAGTAGACCGAGGGGGAGGCCTCCGGGACTGGGCAGGCCCGGGACCCACCCGCCGCCCTCATGGGGCGGTGAATGGGATTTGGGAGGGGCGCGACCTTGGGCCTGGGTTATTTAAACCTCCAGCAGCCTCCTGGCAGCTGGTGGGTCTCAGGACGGGGCGTCTCATGCCTGGATCCCGGACAGCCGCCATGGGCACAGACGCCATGTGCTGAGCTGTCCCCGGGCGGCCAGCAGGGGAGCTCTGGGGATTTGGTTCTTTGAGTTGCTGCTTAATTCGCTCCAGGTTGAACCCATTGTGCTTCTTGGACCTGAAACAGGCAGTAACTCTTCCTTAGCAAAACTTTCAGTCACTAATAATTCTGAGCACCAAATAGCAGTCATGCAGAAGCTAGGGCTTGGGGCCTGTCCTGCAAAAGTAGCTCCAACAGTTGGCCAATGTGTCAACTGGTAATGGAACAGAGTAGATTAGGCACGACTGAACAAACTTAGCCCACAAGTAAAACTAGAAACCAGGAGGGAGCAGAGGTCTTGCCGAGCTAGGTTCTTGTACCTGCTGGTCTGTTGGAGCCAGGGACGCTAAGCCACAGTGTCTAAGGCAGAGGTCGGGACAGGTGAGGGGCTGTGCCAAGCTGAGTCAGAGCATCCATTGGCAGGCAAGTGATCTATGGCTGGGAACAGACCCAGTTGGGGAGCAAAGGGGACAACCCTAGCTGGGCTGAGGTTCCCACCAAGAGGCACATGGCCTGGAAGGGGAGCTGCGTTCTGATCTGGAAACAGTTGTAGTCTCCCTTGGCACAAGCGTGGACTGGGATTGGATGCACCGAACCGGGCCGGACCCCGACTCCCCCTGGTGTTCTGGAGGACCAGGGCAGCTGTGGGATGGACTAGGCAGGGTCTCAAACCCCTACTGAGCCATGTGTGAGCCATATGTGGGTATAGACAAACCATGGCTGGGCTGGAACATCCAACAGCAAGAACCAGATTGGGTGGAAGGCCAGTCAGGAAAAGCCACAGTTCCTGTTATTACAGGAGGTGGACTGAGTAAGGTTGGCTCATGGACCCACTGGTAAGCGTGAAACCTGGCATTGGGAGAGGTTCTGATGGAGGAGCCTGGGCAACTCCTCTGGCAGGACACAGACCCGGCAGGTAAACGCAAGAAACATGATAGGAAACAGCCCAGAAAAGGCCATGGAAAGCTACCCACTGGCATACAATTGGCTGATGTGGGGGCAAGACCAGGCTGAATCTGTCCACATCATCCACTGGCAAATCCAGGCACCAGTGTGGGTCGACCTAGGGTTGGTCGCAACAAAGACTAGTGCACATTATGGAATGCCGAGGTGAGGTGGCCTGTACCGGAAGGGACCGCAGCGCCCTACCAGCCTGAGAACAAGAAAGGAAGTGGGCAGAGCCGGCAGGGGAATAAGGGAGGGTTCCTTTGCAGGACAGCTACTTCCGCAGGAGAGCATGGGCTGGGATGGGGGCAGACCAGACTAGGCAGAGCTACCACACCTGTGGGCTTCGTGCGGACCAGATCAGGGAAAAGCCGGGCTGGGTGGATTATTCCTACTGGTGCAAACAAAATTAAAGTGGGCGAGGGTTGTTTGGGCTTAGACGCAGCATCAACTGGAATCTGGGAGTGGGAGAGGCCTGGGAGGGAAATAGTGGGCTCATCCCTCTTGGGTTACCACTTCCACAGGACATAAAACTAAGATAACTAAGATAGCGGCTGGGGTGGAATGGGGTGTGGGACAGACTGGATTACTGCTACACTTACTGGCAAACCAGGGTAGGGGGTGGGCCTGGTGGGGGTTATTGTGGGTCGCTCCAACCTAGGCTGCAGCTCCCGCTGGTTTATGTGAGGGCCAAGTATGTGCTGGGCAGAACTAGGCTGGACTGCAACACCCATTGGTTCCAGTGGAAGTCGGGAGTGAAAACAGAACCAACCCAGCAACTGCAACCACCAGCTGATTGGCGCGATGGACGGTGCCGGGCCCTGTACTTGTTAGCACATACAAGAAGTTTCTTTGGAGATCTTCCTAATCTAAATGCTGGACTCAAAACCCTAACGAAGAAAAGAGAGAAGACAGAACGGGTCAACCAACCATCTCAGCTATGATGGACTATGTCAATCAGTGGATTTTTCAAAGCCCTCATAGTGCTTGGAGTGGCAAGATTGACAACGATTCATAACTGTTGCAATATCAAAACCACTTGAGCAAGAACCTCAGCGCATGCCCTACATCCGGGACCTGGGGAGGGTGGGAAATTGGGTGGGCCTTCTCCCTTAAATAACCCCCTTTAAACATGAAGGTAACAATATGGAAAACATACTAGTATTATCCACTTTCATGTAGCCCTTGAACCTTCTTACCCTAATTAACTATGTAAAGAATGTCAAAATAAAAAAAAAAAGAATTTTACCCCCCCAAAAAAAATAAAATAAAATAAGTCTTTTAAAAAACAACTTATAAAAGTTTCTGACAATAAATATACAAACATCATCTTTATTGACAATGAATAAGAACACATTGTTTATAGGTAAGCAAAAACATGTGAAATGTACAACATTAAAACTTCTAATATTCGTGTTTGAATGCAAACATGTAATCAAGTTGAACCTCACGCATAAAGCGGGCATAGGATGGAGATGCAAAGGACCAGATTTCCCAGTAAAACTAATGTAGTGTAAATCCCTTCACACTACACTGCAAACTCAAGTCTCTGGAACCAGCACATAGCTCCTATTTAAATCATACTCATGAGTAAAAAAAGCATGTTCCAGGTGTCAAAGAGGCTGTGTGGAAAACACCAGATAGAAGCAAGAAGACAAAGAAGCATGGCCTTGTCTCTGTGAGAGGCCAGACAGAAGAACCATGGTCTGCAACAGATAAACCAAAGGTGTGGCAAAAATGCAGTCCTAACTTCCACTGGTCCTTAGCCATAGCATCAGAAAAATATATTTGTATATGTGTGTGTGTGTGTGTGTAACTATGTGCAGGGGCTTTCCAAAAGCTCATGAAAATTCACAGTATAGAAATACATCACACATGAAATTTCAATATTCAGGAAAACACATTTCTTAATCAAATTTCCCATGGATTTTTTGAGTTACTCTCATACACAAGTGTTTACACCCATTCACGTATATAATCCATACATATACATACAGTACTGATTGAAGCTTAACTACTTCATTTTCAATTGTATGTAGACGGTGAAGGGGGAGTTGGGAGTATACGTTCTCCTAAGCAGGTCCTTTGTGCGTATTCTTATTTAATCCTCACGACAACTTAAGAGAAAGGGATGAGTTATTTTCATTTTACATATAAAGAAAACTAGGACCCAGAATTAGTAGCCTTTCAAAGTCCCACAACTGCTAACTGGTGGTAGCAGATTTTTAAACTGAACTTTGGAATGCCCATGTTGAGCATTTTTATTTTGTTAGTTTAAACTGCCAAATGATTTTCTTTTCACTGAAGTATGTGGTATACTGAAAGCATTTTAATAGCTCTAAGTGTCAATATACAGTGACACCCTAGAGTCTGAACATTTTGTTGTGTTGACAGAAGATCATGGATAGGATGCAGGACAGAAGTAAAAATCTGACTATATTTTTCCATCATTATATAATTTTATGTAATACACAGGATATATAGAATATCCTACAATAGGTAGAATAAAAAATCGGGCCCGGCGTGGTGGAGCAAGTGGTTAAGGTCCTTGCCTTGCATGCCCGGGAACCCATATGGGCGCCGGTTCTATCCCAGCAGCCCCACTTCCCTTCCAGCTCCCTGCCTGTGGCCCGGGAAAGCAGTCGAGGACGGCCCAAAGCTTTGGGACCCTGCACCCGCGTGGGAGACCCAGAAGAGGCTCCTGGCTTTGGATTGGTATAGTATCGACCCGTTGCGCTCACTTGGGGAGTGAATCATAGGACGAAATATCTTCCTCTCTGTCTCTCCTCTCTGTATATTCGCCTTTCCAATAAAAAACTAATAAAAATAAATCTTTCAAAAAAAAGAATAATAAAAAATGACATTTGTGTAGTGTTTTGCTAAACCTTTATTTGAACTTTTTGTTTTTGTGTTTCCAGTCCTACCACCTTTCTGGTCCCCTTGCAACTTATGCTAATTTATTACTGTGATGTCATGCCTTGTCTGTCTTCTTTAGGGCTGCTCTAGGATAGAGACTAATTAGCATATGGAGAACAGCAGCAGCAACAACAATATGAGTAAACCTTAAGGGCAGAGAAATGGTAACTTCTTCATGGAGACCTGTTCATCCTCAAGTGAGCTGCTTGAGGCCTGTCCTGTGAACTGGTTTCCATAACTGACAGAAACATATGCCCAGGTGTCTCAGTGGCTTCACTTCTTCTTGACAGGAACCCTAGATACAATAACACACTGATCCAATCCACCAGCTTTCTAGACCCTTGGTATCTACGGAGTCTTTCCTTAAGGTGATACAGCACAATTTACAGAAAGCTGAGTGATGTAGAAAGTTTCCTGGACAGTTGTTCACAATAGAAAACCAAGGATTAATTCAATGCCAAGGATAAGCAAATAGGGACCTGATGAACAGTTCAGATTCTGGCCAACTCTACCTCTGGTAACTCCAGGAAAAACAACAAAAAAAGGGAAACTTAGGTAGGGCTCCACAGAACAGGGGTAACAAATACCACAACTCTGCGAGTAACATCATTCCTCTGACGACAACTAAATACAGCCTGGTTACGCTCATCACAGTAAGTGGTAGTTTTACATTCTCTGGAGAGCTGATGTCATGTATATGTCTGATGACTCAGAGACGAGCAACTCTGTGTCCTCCTCACGAGAAGGGTATATTATGAGCCATCAAGCTAACCTACCAAGTAACAATTCCTTTTGCAAGCTGAGGGGCTACAATAGGTCTCTAACAAGATCAGGAGATGGGGAAGCAACTTCCCAGTGTATATGGCCACCCTCTCTGGGACTGTATGAATTTTAGTGAATGAGTATTTGGGAGATTGAGACTTAAAATTCTGAGATCCCTGGATGGAAGTTTTAATAATTATCAAATCAACAGATGTAAGCACCAGCCTGTTTGTGGCTCAACAACTACATATTATGCAAATGAAATTAGATGCTTATATAATTGGGTCTCAAGGCATACAATAAGTTTCCATTTAAACACTCAGGTACCTCATACAGTGATAAACCCAACTTACTTTACTTCATACTCAGTAATTTTTCAGGGTTGATTTTCAACGTGAATCCTTTGATGTCTGATGAGGGATGAACTGCACTTAAAGCTTTTCCCACATTCATTACATCTAAAGGGCTTCTCTCCAGTATGAGTTCTCTGGTGTTGAATAAGAGCTGACGAATGAATGAAGGCTTTCCCACACTCACCACATTTGTAGGGTTTCTTTCCAATATGAATTCTTTGATGTTTAGCAAAATTTGAACTCCGACTGAATGTTTTCCCACATTCGTTACACTCGTAGGGTTTCTCTCCAGTATGAATTCTCTGATGCTGGACAAGATGTGTACTTTGACTAAATGTTTTTCCACATTCACTACATTCATACGGCTTTTCCCCAGTATGAACCCTCTGGTGCTTAGTAAGGGATGAGCAGTGGCTAAAGGCTTTCCCGCAATCCTGACATTTGTAGGGTTTCTCTCCAGTATGAGTTCTTTGATGTTTAATTAGTGCTGACGAGTGAATGAAGGCCTTATCACATTCATTGCACTCATAGGGCTTCACTCCAGTATGAATTAACTGATGCTGCACAAGATGTGTGCTTCGATTGAAACCTTTCCCACATTCACTGCATTCGTAAGGTCTCTCTCCAATGTGAATTCTCTGGTGGATCGCAAGGGATGCGCTTTCTGTGAAAGTCTTCTTGCATTGGTTGCATCCGAAGAGCATTCTAGTATGAGTTCTCTGATGCTTCGTTAGGTTCGCCCTGTGGCTAAAAGATTTCCCACATTCGTCACAGGAATAGGGTTTCTCTCCGGTATGGACTCTCTGGTGTCGAATAAGCACTGAATGGTAAGTGAAGAGTTCACCGCAGTCGTTACACTTATGAGGCTTCTTCTCTTTGTTGTAAGTTCTCTGCCTTTTCACTAGGTTTGATTTCTGCTTCAAGCGTTTTCCCAGTGTCTGGAAGGAACAGGTTCCTCTGAGCACTCTGTCTTGAGTGGCACGGACGGACTTTTGACTATAGTTTTCCCAGGGAACATCACGTTCAAGATCTCTTTCCTCAGGTGAGGTGTTCATGTGAGGGAACGCCTCTTTCAAGTGTCTCTCCTGACTTTCTTGCTGACTTTCTAACCAACTTTCACATTCTGCATCTGAGCCACTGTTCTTCGTCAGTCTCTCAATGATCGCAACCTGGCAGGACGATTCTTTGGAAAAATCTTGCGCTGAAGCGTAATCCTTGCTCTTGGCTCTTGGCTCCATGTCTGAAAGACATTGGAAATGCAAATTCCCTTCGTTTTCTGTGTTCAACAGAAAAGCAATTCTGTAACAGGTAAAAAGTTAATGAACGTGAAAAGCATGCCCTCACGCAGTAAGGGATGTGACTCATCAGATGATTTGTAAAGAGAAGGATGGAGGAAAACACTCAGTATAAGCAGAGAGAATGAACAGACTCCATCCAGGGTCACAAGATGGAAAAGATACCCAGAAATACAGGAAAAGGAGGACTGAACTTGAAGCAACATATCTGTTTATGAGCAGACATAGGACTACATCAGGTCAGAATGAGAGAATTAACTTCATATAACCCATCATGCTGCAATGAAAATCTGCAGGATTATCCCAGGGTATAGTTATGAGTCCTAAGTTCCCAGTCTTTCAATCCTGCCCACAGCAAACACACAACCCACTGGCAGTGCCATCTTCCTAACAATGCCTAACTATGTGCCTCATCTGAAACCTCCTACAGTCTCCCAAGATACACTGGCAAATATATGAAATGATATGCACACTGCTTTTTATTGCAACACTAACTCAGGTAGTAAAAGACTGGGAACGCTCCAAATGTTCCATTATAGATAAATGACTGAATAAACTACAGCATATACATACAACAGAATACTGTGAAACTTTTTAAAATGAAAAATCTTTGCATATTGGTATGAAATAATATCTAAATGAAAGAAGTATAATTGAGCATTTACAGTTGTGTGTGTGTAGAAAGAAAAGGAAGGAGAGACACAAGACTCTTCAAAAAGTTCACAGAAAATGTGTATTATGCAAAAGCCAACATATAGTTTTCAAATCTTGCTGCACTATAGTACTGGTGGGCCTGGTGCGGTAGCCTAGCAGCTATGCATGCACCATGATCCCAAATGGGAATTGGTTCTAATCCTGGTGGCCTCACTTCCCATCCAGCTCCCTGCTTGTGGCCAGGGAACGGCCCAAAGCCTTGGGACCCTGCACCCATGTGGGAGACCTGGATGAGGCTCCTGGCTCCTGGCTTTGGATCAGCTCAGCAGGGGCCACTGAAGCCAGTTGGGGAGTGAACAGTGGACAGAAGATCTTTGTATCTCCTCCTCTCTGTATATCTGCCTTTCCAATAAAAAGTAAATAAACCTTAAAAAAAAAAAAAGTATGATACTGCCATAAAGACAAGTACACCAGACAGCCCAGAAAGAAATCCAAGCATATCAAATAAACGGGAGTTATCGCAAATCAATGACAAAAGATTATTTAATAAATGATGCTGGACTGAAGTATAAGTGTGCTAAAAAAAGTAAGTATGATATTAAAATGTAGAATTTTATATGCCTAAGACATCTCAAAATAAAATTAGCTACAAGTTGGAGGGATCAATGTTTTGTGACTTCTGTTAATTGTCATATACTAACAGAAAAACTCTAATAAACTCTCATGTATTAACGTGAAGAACTCCAACAAACCAAGAAAAACATCTGCATAGCTCGTGTTTACAAAGGAGCAAAGGATATGAGGTAATTCAAAGACATGAAATGCCTAAATAGGCAACTAATATGGAATTCTCAAACTCCCTGTATTTAACACAGAAGTACAAACTGAAGCACATGGAAGAGCATTCTGTAACCACCAGACAGATGAAAATCAGAAATCTGGTAATATCCACTGTTGGCCAGGATGGCAGTAGGACCTTGGCAGTCCCTAATAACTAACTCGGCATCAAATTCCAGAAATTTCTCTTCTGTTACCTATGCTAAACAAACTCTCAAGGTGAATATAAGAAGCTTAATACATGTGGGCCCGGGGTAGTAGCCTAGCAGCTGAAGTCCTCGCCATGCATGCATTCCATATAAGCATGGGTTCCAATCCTTGCGGCCCCACTTCCCATCCAGCTCCCTGCTTGTGGCCTGGGAAAGCAGTCGAGGACGGCCCAAAGCCTTGGGACCCTGCACCCTCCCGGGAAACCCAGAAGAAGCTCCTGGCTCCTGGCTTCAAATTGGTTCAGTTCCAGTCATTGTGGCCACTTAGGGAGAGAATCATCGGACAGAAGATCCTCCTCTCTGTCTCTCCTCCTCTCTGTATATCTGACCTTCCAACAAAAAAAAAACACAATAAAATTAAATCTTAAAAAACAGGAAGCTAATAGATGAATGATCATTGCTGTTTTCAAAGCAAAGAAGAAAAAAACTGGACTAACTCCGTAACGGATAAAATGACACGTGTTAACACAGCTTAATATTAAAGGTAAAAAAAGACTACAGAAGGAAAAAATGGAGGCAACCGTACATAGGTATTTCTGTATCTATGCACACAAGGGAGTAGTTCACCTCTTTCAATATATGGTGCTGTTTCTAGGAGCAAAGCAGAATACAAAGACTTTACCTGAGTCTAATATTTTTCTTTCTAAAATAAATAAACACTCCTAAGAATGTCTCAAATGAAGACAGGCAGCATTCAGTGTTGGTAAACGTGGAGCAGCTAGCGTTGACACATTGTGGTGTTGGGAACATAACTGGAGTGATGACTTTCGAAATCTTTTAGGGATGTTGACTGAAAATGAACACCCACCTACCTTATCGCTCAAAAACTCTAAGTGTATTATACATGCAATAGGAGTACGTGTTCATGAAAACACAAGCAAAGAATGCACAGGGCAGTACTGTCAGGCACCAACAGGAAAGCAGCCAAATGGCCATCTTCCAGTGTATAAGTCGCTATACTGACATAAGGGAAACGTGTATAGCATCGAGAATGCGTGACTGGCACAGCAAGCATGGGTTTCATAGTTTAACGTTCAGCGAAGGAAGTCGGACACAAGAAAAGATGTACCACGGCTTAAGTTCAAGAGCACATCACATGAATCTACGGTGTTCCGCGTTGGGCTAAGGTCACTCGTGGGAGGGGAGAGAGAACGGTCACAGGTGTCTGATGTTGTTTTCTGGTTCTGGCCACTGATACCTCACTGTGTTCAGTTTGTGCAAACTCATAGCACTGTAGAGTTATGGTAACATCGCAGGAGAGAGGGAAGAAAGAAATATTAACATGTCTTTAATCTTGGTGATGGGTACAACATGAGTGCTTCTCTATTTTCTGAGCTTCCGCATGCGTTTAAAATAATTTGCAATTTCAAATATTTTTAAAAACAAGGGCACGTTTATCGATCTAGTGTTGTTCCTCGGGCAGTGACAATGTCACTTCCCCACTGAGCTGCTGGGTGCCGGTTCTGCAGACTCCCACCTCTCACTCACCTGGACAGCTGCCCCCAGAGGCCTTCCTCTCCAGCTTCAGCACTTCTCTTCCATTCTCCAAGCTGTAGCTCTCAGGCCTGGAAATCGGAAGCCCTGTTTATGACAAAAGGAAAGAAATGGGTTCGAACCGTCTGCGGTATACACACACACACACACACACACCCCTGCAGTGTAAGCTTCAACCCTGGACATGCAGAGGGCACATTATCACGGAAAGATTTGCAGTAACTGGCCCCGCTAGGGAGGCACTACACTGGATTTGCACACCTTTTCACTGTGTGAGGAAATTCCAGAGAGAGAGAGAGTATTAATCCTTATCTCAGGAAAGAGAATGGAAAAAGTGGGACCCCCATTGGCAGCGCGACAGAATGCAACTGCCACGGCGGTTTGCCTGGATTTTCACTCCCTTATTCTTCAAGTGTTAGAAGTTCCTGAGGGGATTTGCTACAGGGGGCTTGGGAGGGGGTTGCCCTCATGCAAACATATGCATATGTGTATACACACACACACACACACACACACACACACACACACACACACACACACACACGCCATCCATGGGCCTGAGCTTCCCTGGCTTTTCTGGCCCCAGTGGTGGGCACTGACCCCACATGCAGGTAATTTTGTGTTTCTGTTCAGCTAACAGGTGGAATGACACAGAGCCCTGTGGGCCGCCAATGAGGCCACCGATGACCACCTGTCTGCCACATGGGGCGACAGATCTCAAGAATAAAACGGGGAGGGAAGCCCGGCCAAATCACTAAAAACAGATAAAAGAAATCCTGATGAAATGTTCCACTCTCTGAAGCAAGATGCGGGTTTCGTTTCTGCCACCTGAGTCCTGATTCAGAACAAGCAAACCCATGTCGCCAAGAAGCTAAGGCGGAAACAGAGCTCTCTGGAGGTCCGCGAGAACCTTCTGGCTGCTGAGTGAGGAGGCGAGGGCGCCGTTGTTCTTACACAGCGAGACCAGGTTCCGGTAGTTCTCCAGCATCACGGCCCTCTGCACCGGATCCAGCTTCCCCCACTCTTCTGGCGTGAAGTCCATGGCCACGTCCTTGAATGTCACCGTTGCCTGGGACACAAAGCATACCTTTGTTCACCGTCTTTCACGGGAAGGCCTCTTTTTCATCCCCCCACCTCCGTTTCTTCTGGCCCATGGTACAAAGACACTCAACAGGGAAAGCAGCTGTGCTAAGTGATGGGTCTTCTAACAGTTATTCAGGTTACAAATCGGAAGTCACCCTGCTAAACTCAGAGGCAAAATTTCATGCTTTTTTTTTTAAGATTTATTTCATTTTTATTGGAAAGGCGGATATACAGAGAGGAAGATCTTCCGTCCGATGATTCCCTCCCCAAGTGAGCACAATGGCCAAAGCTATGCTGATCCAAAGCCAGGAGCCTCTTCCGGGCCTCCCACGTGGGTGCAGGGTCCCAAAGCTTTGGGCCGTCCTCGACTGCTTTCCCGGGCCACAAGCAGGGAGCTGGATGGGAAGCAGGGCTGCTGGGATTAGAACCGGCACCCATATGGGATCCCGGGGTGTGCAAGGTGAGGACCTTAACCACTGCGCCACCGCACCTGGCCCAAAACTTCATGCTTTTAACAATGAAAGATGACAGTCTTCCTGAAGAATAAAGTATTTTTTAAAAATATTTATTTATTTTTATTGGAAAGGTAGATTTACAGAGAGAAGGAGAGACAGAAAGGTCTCCGTCTGTTGGCTCACTCCCCAAGTGGCCACAACGACCGGAGCTGAGCTGATCTGAAGCCAGGAGCCAGAAGTTTCTCTCAGTTCTCCCACCCACGCGCAGGGTCCCAAGGCTTTGGGCCGTCCTTGACTGCTTTCCCAGGCCAGAAGCAGGGAGCTGGATGGGAAGTGGAGCAACCGGGACATAAACCTGTATCCATGTGGGATCCTGGCGTGTGAGTTAGGGATTTAGCCAGTGAGCCATCATGCTGGAGAATAAAGCATTAAGGTCGGAGTTGGGGTGGCCTTTAGTCCAGCTGTTAGGCTCCTGGTTGGGATGCTTGCCTTCCTGGTCAGAATGCCTCAGTTCAAATCCTGGTTCTGTTCCCAATTCTAGCTTCTTAATGTCCACTCTGGGAGACAGGTGCATGATGGGCAAGCTAGCTGGATCCCTGCAACCCACTGAGCTCTAGGCTCAGGCCTGGCTTACCCCAGCCAGAGAACAAGGCGATGGGATGCAGATCTCAGCCTCTCAGACAAAATTAAAGCAAACAAACAATCACTGCCAAAACCTCACCACAATGTGGTTTGGTAAACTGGACAAAATATAAGCAGAGTGTGTGTGTATGGGGTGGGGTCTAAACTAAACTATATTTGCATGATTCCCATAACTCATGAATAAAAGGCTGAAGAATCAGCCTCAATCCAACCAGAAGATGAACTGCAATATATGAGCTGTGAATGGAGAAGTAAAGGAGGAAAAAGGCCAACGAGCACCAAATTCAGCCGACCTTGGAATTCAAGGCAAAAAATCAGTAAACTGGAAAATGACTGCAACAGATTAAGAGCAAGGATACAAGTAAATGTTTATGTACCACGTATCATAATATTGCACGTCTACAAGACATGCCTATTACAAAAGCTATAAGGATTTAGACACACATCAGTATGCAACACGCCATTTAAATAAAGCCATAAAAATAGGAATAATAATCCAAGGCTGATGGAATAAATATGTATCAAATGCTGTAACTGGATAAACAAATCTCTCTGTTCAAATATTCAAGAGGCATTAGCAAAAAAGCAACAAAGTAAATTTCAATAAAATCCAAAAGAATGAGTAACTAAAAAAAATTAAAATGAAGCAAAAATTCAAAAATGAATGTTAAATGACTAAAACTATGCTGAGAGAAACGCACAGCTTTAAGCACTCCAATGTTACTAAACAAGGAAGCTGAGCAAATGGATCAAGTTAGAAAAAGAACATGGACACAGCACAATTTCAAAAACAGAAAAATAAGACAGCTGGAAATTCTGAATAAGGTCCACAGGTTAGAGCATCATGGTTAGAATCAAGTAAAATGTTAGCTTTTGGAAAAGCCGGATGAGTCACCTACAGAAATGTTTGTATTATTTGCAGCATTTCTTTTGCCTAAAATTATCTCATAGTCAAGTTTACAAAAATGGAAATAACCTGTGATTTCACCTTAAAACATGCATCGTTTGAAAATAAAACGAAATGTGAAGTCACTAAGTAGCCACCACATAGAAAAGATGTTTTAAGGTAAAAAGATCTTGATTCTGGAATGCACACACATAACTAAACCAACGCTCAGTGGACACACAGCAAATAATTGCTGGACACACAGCAAATAATCAGGACCAGAAAAATACAAGCCATTGCACCGAATTTAGGAGAAATAGCCAAGGAGAAACAGTGAAACCATAGGGAAACAGGATGCTGAAAACCACACGGCAGGAAGAACTTGAAACACACATATTAAATATGAATGAGTAAATTTCCTTATTAAAAGGTTGGCTTTGGGGCCTGGCACGGTGGCGCAGTGGTTAAGGTCCTCGCCTTGCACACTCGGGATCCCAAATGGGCGCCGGTCCTATCCCGGCAGCCCTGCTTCCCTTCCAGCTCCCTGCTTGTGGCCCGGAAAAGCAGTCGAGGACAGCCCAAAGCTTTGGGACCCTGCACCCGTGTGGGAGACCTGGAGGAGGCTCCTGGCTTTGGATTGGCATAGCATCGGCCGTTGCGCTCACTTGGGGAGTGAATCATCGGACGGAAGATCTTCCTCTCTGTCTCTCCTCTCTGTATATCTGCCTTTCCAATAAAAAAATAATAAAAATAAATCTTTAAAAAAAAAGAAACTCTGTTGGCTTAAGACAGTTTCAGTTTTCATGCAAGCGACTAATAATTGAAACAAATGAAAAAAACACTTATTTTGCAGGCTAGTATAGTGGCATAACACGCTAATCCTCTACCTGCAGTACTAGCAGCCCATACGGATGCTGGTATGAATCCTGGCTGCTCCACTTCTAATCCAGGTTCCTGCTAATCACCTGGGAAAGCAGGGGAGGATGTCTAAGTCCTTGGACCCTTGGGCCCTTGGACCCATGTGGGATACCCAGAAAGAAGACAGCCTCAGATCAGCTCAGCTCTCACCTTTATGGCCATGTGGGGAGCGAACCAGCGGATGGAAGACCCCTTTCTGTGTTTTTCTTTCTCTTTCTAAAAAGTATACCTTTCAAGTAAAAATAAATTTTACAAAAATCTTATTACTTTTTTTAATTTGAAAGACAAAGCCACAGAGAGTGAGAAGGGGAGAAGAGACTGAGCGAGCACGCACTGAGACCTCCCACGCACTGGTTAACTTCTGAAACGGTTACAGCAGTCAGTGCCGAGCCAGGAATTCTATCCAGGTCGGCCACGTGGGGGTGGGAGGGCAAGCACAGGACAGGAAGCCGGGCTGGAAATGGAACAGCCTGGACTCTGACTAGCGCTCCGACACGCTGACATTCCGAGTAGACGCTTCACCTGCCGTGTCACAAGATGAGCCCCGACAATTCTGAATGTTGGCGACGCCTGCCTGCTGCTGGGGAGAACGCCAACACTGCAGACACACTCCTTGAGCATCCTGCATCTCACAGGGCTGGATTCTGGCTGGCTGCAACCTCTGACTCCTCCCAGGCCTCCTCTCCCGGCATTCTTTTCAACTAGCTGAACAATTACTTTTATAACCCCATCAGCCTAAATTCCTACACAGTCATTCGGATGTGATATTATTTCCCTATAGCGAAGCAAGACTTTTAAGATTTACTTTATTTTTTATTGCAAAGTCAGATATATACAGAGAGGAGGAGAGACAGAGAGGAAGATCTTCCATCTGATGAGTCACTCCCCAAGCGGCCCAAATGGCCACAACTGAGCCAGTATGAAGCCAGGATCCAGGAACTTCTTCCGGGTCTCCCACATGGGTGCAGGGTCTCAAGATTTTGAGCTGTCCTCAACTGATTTCCCAAGCCACAAGCAGGGAGCTGGATGGGAAGTGAGGCCGCCAGGATTAGAATTGGCGCTCATATACGATCCCAGCACGTTCAAGGCCAGGACTTTAGCCGCTAGGCTACCGCATCGGGCTGGAGAAACACGTCTTAAGTGACATGCCCCATTTCCCACATGACCAAACACAGAAACGAGTGGAATAGGCAAGAAGAGGAAAACGCTCCCTACCTGCCTGCCAAAGCCTAACAAACACAGATGCATAAGAGAAGTACTAGTTTACGTAGGAAGCATCTTCTCCTGAGCTGTCTGTCGTGTTCCGAGTGGGCTCTCAGAACTCAAGAAATGCCACGTCATGCAGTGTACCTGCCCCCTAGACGCGCAGCTCACCTGGGATGTGGCGGTGAGGCGCAGGGCTGCCACCTCGCCCTCTTCCGAACTCTCCTCCTGGGAAACGGGGGACACCTGGGGACACAGACCTGCAGGCAGGAAAGCAGTGACCGCGGGGCTTCGATCTACCTCGTCCTCAGGACTGCAAATCTAAGAACCCCAAATCACCCCGCCGCCTCCCAGGAACCACGGAGATGTCCCTGCTCTGTGGGGTTTATAGTTAACACATCCTGGCACTCTCCGGAAATTAGCTCCTTCCCAAGGGTAAATACTGGAGAAGTTTGGCTCTCAAAAATTCTTGTACGTGCTTAGTTAAAACACAGACTGCTGAATCCCAGCAACCATTTTTTAACGGCTGAGTCTGAGGTGTTTATCAAGTATAGAAGATGGGAGAGAAATACATGGCAGAGGTCCCACGCCAAACGTCACGTAACGTTGGTCTAGGCCGATCAGGCAAATTCAAAGTTGGTGATCAACTTTCATGTCTCTTTTCTTGTATGTTCAAGAACAACAAAATGTAGTATGGAAATCGCAGGGCGATTGCAGGGATAAAGCGGAGAACAGGTGTGGGGCAGTATTTCTGCCAAGCATGAAGCTGAATTCTGAGACCAAGAAATGGAGATGAGGATGGGACCCCAACTGAGGAAAACGCTAAGTAGCCTCATTGAGGATCCTGGGCTCGCGCCTCTGCAGCTCAACCTTTCGTTTTTTGGGTGGTTTTCAAGGGTGGACCTACACCTGCAAGGGGGTGAGGTTCCCTATCAAGCCCCGCAGACTAAGTGACAGCCCATTCAGCCAAGAACCACCTCCCCGCCCCACGCCACCATATTTTCCCCCTTTCCACAGTAGAACTGTGCCCTCGCACAAGTTCACGGCCAGCAATCTTACCTCCCGGCTCCGGCATTTCGGCCACTTCTGGCTCCATGACCACCACCTCCTCCATGTCTTGAGGATTTTGCTCTTCACCCCCTCCTCTACTGCCCCGGGACTCTCTGGGCCCAAGCCCACGGGGGTCCCGCGGTCCTGCCCACCCAGCCTTCCGTCTGAAGGATGTGCAGAAAAGGTCACGGTCAGGTCCGGATGGTGCCCGCCTCACCGGGGAGCTTGCTTCGGTGCCCCGCGGTGGAAGCCTGGACACCAGAGAGGAGAAAGCATGGCTCGGGATGGGTCCCTCCACCCGTGCCCACCGTTCTAGAGCTGTCTGCGGGGGCACAAGGGGGAACCCGAGTGCCTGGAAGAAGCGGGGTGCTGAGGCCGCCCCCCGAGGTGCAAGGGGCGTAAGACCCATGCTGCCCTGCTCCGGGCACTCGCCCAAGACCCGCGACGCCCCCGCCCTGGCACCCCGAGTTCCGGAGTCGGGGTGCGAGGCGTGTGTGTGTGTGTGTGTGTGTGTGTGTGTGTGTGTGTGTTGGCGGAGGGGAGGCGGCTCGGGGCCTGTCCTCTAGCCCCTTTCCCAAGATGTCAGCTCCAGTCCCGACTCCTGACGGAGCTACCTGCTGTCCAGTCCACCGCGAAACCCGCCCCACCAACTCACCTCCCATCCCGGGCCTGACAAAGGCTACCAACTTCTGGGAGCCAGCTGCGACTCGCGCATGCGTGAGGAGCCGCGGCGCGGGGCTGGCGGCCCTTTCACCGCGCCGAACTACAGTTCCCAGAAGGCCCCGCGCGCCCCGCCCAGACTCCCGTTCCTCCGCAGGTGGGCGCGGGTGGGAGCCTCTCAGGACTCCGGAAGGAGCGCTGTCTCTCGCGAGAGTGATGGGCGGCGTAGGAAATCCGGAGACTTGGTCCTACTTTTTGGGCTTTGCACGCGACCTCGCAACACGGCCCTTCGCACTGTGGAGTTCAACCCAAATTACTCTGAAGCGGTGTGTTTTTAGATGCAGGGGTCTTGGTTGCAGACTTAATCCGATGTCCTTGCATCCGTAGGCGACCCGAAATGCTAAAAATTTCATCTAGGTGAGCTTAGCTGAAGAGATGGGTTCTTTGGAGGAGTAAAAAATTAGTTTAAACCAATTTAAAACCGATGTTTTCTCAAGGGACCCGCGTCTCTGATCGCCTCGCTTGCCCTCTGGTCTCAGTGAACGGTACTGCCGCCCACACTCTGCTTGCACGAACCAGAATCAGAGTGTTTTTCGTCTTGCTAGATTTTTCTAAACCGCCGAAGCCCTAATTGTCTTAAATCTGGATTAACTCTTCAATTTGCCCACCTCTGGTTTTCTGGGGCCACCGTCAACTCGTTAGGGTTCTAGACCCCATCTACCGAATGGGTTCCTTGAAGTCCGGTTTTCTCTCCCATGCTTTTTGGATGCTGAGCACTCCCAGGTAGGAATGTGTCGTGAGAACCATGACAGCAAATGGCAGGGGACCAGATGGGCTGTGCTCAGACCCTCTCCTGCAGCGACTCGGAGGTGATAAATGTGTGCTGTTATTATAGTGTGTGGTACCATATTGCAGAAGAAGACAACATAGCAGTCTTAAAATATATATATATGTGTGTATTTATTTATGTTTGAAAGCTTTACAGAGAGAAGGAAGGAAAGCGAGCGAGAGAGAGAGAGATTCCATCCTCTGATTCATTCCCCAAATGGCTACAATGGCCAGAGCTGAGGTGATCCAAAGTGATCCAGGAGCTTCCTTATGGCCTCCCACTTGGGTGTAGGGGGCCCAAAGTCTTGGTAAAATCTCTGTTGCCTTCCCAGGCCACAAGCAGGGAACTGGATGGGAAGTGGAGCAGCTGGGACTGGAACCCAAGTGGGGTGCCTGCGGTGCAGGCTGAGGCTTAATTTCCATAGCGGCCTCCTCCAGTGACACAGCATTCTAACATGAAATAATGACCTTCTTTTCTGTAGCTGCAATGGAGCGCGCGTGAGGAGATGGGGTGCATTTTAGGGTTTTATTGTGCTGCTTCCTGTTCCCCTAATTGACCTGTAGTTTGTATCCTGCCTCATGAGTTGAAGGAGGAGTGAGAAGCAACTCAGGGCTTGGAGATGATGAGTTCACAAGGGAGAATATGTGAGAATTCTGCTGCTGCAAGGGAAAACACTAAACTGAACAACCGCTGGCAGAGTCAGCTAGTTAAGAAGCTATCCTAGGGGCAACGCAATAGATCAACCGGCTGCTCTTCCACCTTGCATCCCATCGGGACATCCATTCATGTCCTGGCTGCTCCACTTACCTGCCAGGTCTCTGCTTATGGCATGGAAAAGTAGTAGAGGACAGAGGCTTGGGACCCTACACTCATGTGGGAGATCTTGAGGAGACTCCTGGCTCCCAGATTCAGATCAGCTCAGCTCCAGCCATTGTGGCCATTTGGGGAGTGAACCAGCGACTGGAAGATCTTTCTCTCTGTCTCTCCTCTCTGTAAACCTGCCTTTCCAGTAACTCTAAAAATAAGTATTAAAAATATCCTAGAAGTGAAAATATATAAGATCATGTCATAAAAGCAAAAACAAGTGGCCAACACAGGAACAGTGGGTAAGATCGCCACCTGTTACGTGGGTATCATTTTGTGGCCCAACTGCACCACTTCCAATCCAATTCCCAGATGATGCACCTTGGTGGAAATGCAGCAGAAAATGGCCCAAGTGCTTGGGCTCCTGTCATCACATGGGAGACCTGAATGAAGTTCCTGGCTTTGGCAGATGGAAAATTTCTTTCTCTCTCTCTCTTTGAATTTCAAATAAAATCTTTACAGAAATACACACACACAAAAAAATCACACATGAGAAATATGATGGTTGAGATAAAGGATTCAATAGGTGGGTTGAATAGAAGAATGCATAAAATAGGAGTAAAATCCGAAGTTGACTATCAAGCCAAGGAACTCTACCTGTCCGTAAGGAGGAAGGGGCATCCTCTGCAGCCTCCGAGGCTTGGTAGCAGGAAGCTGGACTGACAGTGGAGTTAGGCCATGATACCAGGTTCTTTGGTATAACAGGCAGGTGTTCCAAGCGGCAGCTTAAACACAATGCCTGCACAATGCCTGCCCTACCGTGACATTTTCATATGCCAGGAGTGATACTGCTGAACAGGAGATCAAAGAAACCATCTTGTTCACAATAGCTGCAAAACCTCTAAATCGGAGCAAGTTTAAAAAAGTATAAAACATTCATAAAAGAGATACTCAAGGACACGGGAAAATGGAAAAACAGTCTGTGTTCACAGATTGGAATAATTAATATTGTCAAATATCTATGCTGCCTAAACCTGTTTATAGATTCAATGTAATTCCAATAAAAACACCATTGATATTACTTACAAAATTGGAAAAAAAAAATAAATCCCAAAGTTCACATAGAATGATGAAAGACCCAGAGCAATCAGACCAATTCTAAGCAAGAAAGGAAGAAGAAAAGGAAGTTAGAGACATCGTGAGACCTGAGTTCAAAACATACTACAAAGCAATAGCGATTAAAGCAATGTGGTACCAGGACAAAAATAGACATACAATGGACAATGCTGGGGTACAATGGGTAAAGCCCCTGAAACTCAACTTTGAGTTCCACTCGCTCCATTTCTGATTTATCTTGCTACTAATGGTCCCTGCCTTGAACATGCCGGGATCCCATATGGGCGCTGGTTCTAATCCTGGCAGCTCCACTTCCCATCCAGCTTCCTGCTTGTGGCCTGGGAAAGCACTGGAGGACGGCCCAAAGCCTTGGGACCCTGCACCCGCGTGGGAGACCTGGAGGAGGTTCCTGGCTCCTGGCTTCAGGTCAGCAAAGCACTGGCTGTTGCAGTCATTAGGGGAGTGAATCATCCAACGGAAGATCTTCCTCTCTGTCTCTCCTCTTCTCTGTGTATCTGACTTTGCAATAAAAAGAAAAAGAAAGAAAGAAAGAAAGAAAGAAAGAAAGAAAGAAAGAAAGAAAGAAAGAAAGAATTTGTTGCTTACTCAGCATTATAATTTTTAAGATTGTTTTTACTGATTTGCAGAGAGAAGGAAAGAGCGTAAGAGAGAGTAAGCCCTTCCATCAGCTGGTTCGCTCCCCAGATACCTGCAATGGCCAGAGCTGAGCTGATCCGAAGCCAGGAGCCAGGAGCTTCTTCAGAGTATCCCATGTGGCTGCAGGGTGAGGATGAGGGCCGTCTTTGACTGCTTTCCCAGACATAAGCAGGAAGCTGGAAGGGAAGTAAAGCAGCCAGGACACAAACTGGCTCTAGTTTGAGATGCCAACTGCAGCCAGAGAATTAGCCTCCAATGCCACTGTGCTGGTCCCTTCAGCACCCTAATTTTTATAGGCTCCCTTCGCAAGCCAATATTTGAAGAAAAGTGTGGATTGGCAGAATGGTGCTACAATTATATTCTACCACAGAATGGTGCTATGAATTAAGTTGCTGCTGGTGATATTGGAGTGCTGGGTTAAGTCCTGACTGCTCCACTTCTAATTCAGCTCCCCGATAATGTGCATCCCTCCTAAAGTACCTTGGAGAGCAGCTGATGAGGGCCCAAGGACCTGGACGGCAATCTCCCTTGAGAGAGCCCTGGATGGAGTTTCATGCTCCTGGGTTGGATCTGCTCCAGCCCCAGCCATTGAGGCTATATTGGGAATGGGCCAGCAGACTCAAGATCTGTTTCTCTCATTTTTCACCCCCCCTTTCTGTTGTTGTTCCTTTCAGATCAAATAAATCTTTTTAAAGATTTGTTTTTATTATTTTTTATTGGAAAGGCAGATATACAGAGAGGAGAGACAGAGAGGAAGATCTTCCGTCTGATGATTCACTCCCCAAGTGAGCGCAACGGGCCGATGCTATGCCAATCCAAAGCCAGGAGCCTCTTCCGGGTCTCCCACGCGGGTGCAGGGTTCCAAAGCTTTGGGCTGTCCTCGACTGCTTTCCCAGGCCACAGGCAGGGAGCTGGAAGGGAAGCGGGGCTGCTGGGATTTGAACCGGCGCCCATATGGGATCCCGGGGCGTGCAAGGTGAGGACCTTAACCACTGCGCCACCGCACCGGGCCCGGATCAAATAAATCTTTAAAAAAGTTCCAGTAACACTCTTCTAGTGATTGGGATAAAACTTTCTGGAGAAAGGGCTTACCTTGTAATGGACACAAAAAGCTTACTGTGGATCATTTCTAAGTGTCCTTAATCATAGGTTTAGAATGCAAAAGGTATGTTAAATATCTATCGTAGGTCTTTGTTGTACAAACTAGAAGACAGAGGCCTGG